CCTGGGCCACCCCCTTCTCCCCTAGCACGGCCCAGGGCCCGTATGGGCGCCACTCGGGTGCCCCGGGTGCTGGGAGTGTTGGGTGGGAGGCGGGCGGCGTTCGGGGCAGAGCAGGGAGGCCTGGGTGGCCCAGTCTTCCGCTTCTGCCCTTCCTGTCCTCTGCGCCCGGGTGAAGGCTGGGAGCCTGTCCACTTTGGCAGAGCCCACTGGGACCTGGACACGGGCAAGCCTCCAACCCTCCCTGCCAGGGCTCCAGGGTCCACTGTGCCCCGCACCTGCTGGGCCCTTACTGGGAGGCTGGGCTTTCTCTCCCACACCCCCGGCTCCTGGCGCAGACAGTCCCACTGCCGAGTCTGCGGGTTCCCAGCTGGACCCACGGGCCACCCGGGCACCTGCTTACGTCCAGTCTAAGCTTGTGCTTGTGGACAGGGGTGTCTTGCTCACCCCTGGGTGCCCAGGCTCCCAGCCCCACTGGCATCTGGGAGGTGAACCTGAGCCCTCCTGGCCTGTCCCCCTGCTGGTGCACACACCTGGGGCTTTGGGATCAGGTTGCCACAGCTGCCCTCCCCAGCACCCTCCACAGGTGCCGGCCTCTCCTGTCCGAGGTGTCCACAGGGACCTGGGTGGGTTCTCAGGGCTCGACCCTCAGGGTGGGGGCGGGGGATCCCTGGCTCTGAGCACAAGGTTGTGCGGTGGGTCCCTGCTGGGGTGCTCCTCCACCTTGGGGTGCTCAGCCAGACCCCTGTGTGGCTGGCAGCTCAGCACTTCTGGTCCCCACTGAGGCCTGAGAGCCCCCCTGGGCAGCCACTGCCTCCGTCCTGGACAGGCCTCACCTGCCCCTCACGCCACAGTGAGAGGCCGCGGGGGTCTGAGAAGCTGGTATAAGTAGCCTGCTCACCTCTCGCTAGGGGTTCGGCCTGTGGAGTCTCCTCCCCATGAGACCGTCCCCTCCTTTCTCGTCTTCCCAGTGGGAGTTTGGGGTTTGGGTGGGAGTGCGTGTGGTAGGGGCACAGCAGGGACCATGCGGTTCTTCCCTGGGGCACAAGCCAGAGGCGAGAAGTGCCATGGGGCCAGCTTCCTGGCGGGAGGGAGGGTGCTGTGCAGGGCCCCAGGCAGGAGGGGCAGCCGAGCCCCTGCGCCACGCTCATCACCCGGCTTGTCCACCTGTCACCCTCCTGTAGCCGGGGCCCAGGGAGCAGGCTGTTGATGACCACAGTGGAGGGATGGCCCGAGCTGTGGGGGACTGGTCTGGCCTGGACAGAGCCCCCCTGGCCTTCGTGTGGCGGGTGGGCTGTGGGTGAACGGACAGCTGCCACAGAAGACTGGGGGAGCCCCGCTGGTGGTCCCACCTGTAAAAGTGCGAGCCTCAGAGCGGGAGAGGGAACGGTAGGGGGTGGGCAGGGGAGCAGGTGGGTTTGGTCAGGTGACCCTGGGAGCAGGGGGAGTGCGGGCGCTGTAGCTGCGCTGGGCTTCCTCCCAGCCCAGCCTGGGTCGGGGAAGGGAAGGTCGGGCTCTTTTTCCTTCTTTTATTCAAATGATACTGGTTTAACCCTTGCTGCCAGCCAGTGATGCAATGGGAGACCTCCATCCCCGGGAAGGGACATGGAGATGGACAGCAGCCAGCCCCCAGCCCCATCCCCATCCCTGGGAAGGACATGGAGAAGGACAGCCCCCAGCCCCACCGCTCACTGAGCTCTTGTCATGGGCCTGACACCACCCTCCCCACTTCCAATGGTCCGACTCTGTGAATTCTCATAGCAGCCCTGGGAGGTGGGCGCTGTCATCCTCGTGTGACAGACCTGGAACCAGGACAGAGAGAAGTGGCTCATGGGCTAGAGCAGGGGTGGGCAAACTTTTTGACTCAGGGCCACAATGGGTTCTTAAACTGGACTGGAGGGCCGGAACAAAAGCATGGATGGAGTGTTTGTGTGAACTAATATAAATTCAAAGTAAACATCATTACATAAAAGGGTACGGTCTGTTTTTTTTTTAGTTTTATTCATTTCAAACGGGCCGGATCCGGCCCGCGGGCCGTAGTTTGCCCACGGCTGGGCTAGAGGCAGGGAAAGAAAAGATGATTTTTAAAATATATATATATTTAATATATTTTTATTGCTTTCAGAGAGGAAGGAAGAGGGAGAGATAGAAACATCCATGATGAGAGAGACTCACCAATCGGTTGCCTCCTGCAAGTCCCCCACTGGGGAGGACCCCACAACCCGGGCATGTGCCCTTGACCGGAATTGAACAATCGGTTGCCTCCTGCAATTCCCCCACTGGGGAGGACCCCACAACCCGGGCCTGTGCCCTTGACCGGAATTGAACCTGGGACCTTTCAGTTCGCAGGCCGCGGCTCTATCCACTGAGCCAAACAGGTAGGGCAAGGGCTAATATATTTTTATTGATTTCAGAGAGGAAGGGAGAGGAAGAGAGAGATAGAAACATCAGTGATGATAGAATCATTGATCGGCTGCCTCCTGCACGCCCCTCACTGGGGATCGAGCCCGCAACCCGGGCCTGTGCCCTTGACCAGGAATTGAACCGTGACCTCCTGGTTCATGGGTTGACGCTCAACCACTGAGCCACCCCAGCGGGGCCCCGTGATGACTTCCCTTAGAGACCTGGGGCAGCCCCAAACATCCAGACAGGGGTACCCGTCAGTACATCCAAGCACTGGTACAACTGAGCGTTCCCCACCTGGACGCCCTGCTCGGGCTGTGAGCACACCTGCCCGCCTGCATCTGCGCAGTGGGGGCTGCTGGTGCGATGCCCGTGCTCTCCTCCAGGGGGCAGGACGGCGCGCTGTGTGTGTCCATCCTCTGCTCCATCCTCTGGGAGAAGAGGGTGGAAGGGACAGGATGGTTTCCTCCGGAACAGCGACTGGCCTCGCTCATGCAGTCAGGGTCCCGAAGGGGCGCCGTGTGTGTGCAGAAGGGGCTCTTTGCTGGGCATTGGGCAGGCCGCAGCGCTCGGGCCCTCGGGGGTAACCAAGGTTTGCTTTGATACCGGTTCTTTTTGCGGGGTGAGGTGCCCCCACAGCTCTTCACCTGAACTCTGGGGTGCAGGCCAAGCAGGGGGGGCGGGGGGAGGTCTCAGCCACCTTGCCCGGGGACTGCGCCTCGATTGTTGGCGTTACGAGCTGTGGTGCTTGGGGCTCCTGGGTAGAGAGTGTGAGATTCTGAGAGCTGCTGGGTCCCTGGTCCGTGCCCATCCTGCCTGGCACCTCTCCAGGCCCCTGTCGGCCTACATCTGGTTACTCCAAGGTGTCTGTTTCCCACCTCAACACAGTTGCCAACTGAAGGTTACAAGGGTGAGTGGACACGGGTGCCTCTTGTCTGCTACTATGTAAACCCCTAAGTAACAAGTCATCCCTGAGCTCAGTGGCGTTAGCTACCATCGTGGGTCGGGATTTGGACAGATGGATTCTTCAGCTCCGTGCGCCGTCCACTGGGGTCACTTGGCAGTGCCCGGCGGGCACCGGGGCCGTCTGGGGACCACGGCATCCCTCTGGCATACTCTGTTGACCCCAGCATCCCCAGGGCAGCGGGACCAAATGGGGCTGCGCCCTGCCCACGGGAGGGTTCAAGCTGGGCGGCTTTTCCCTGGGTCCGCCACCCTGCCCTCTGCCTGCTCATGCCTGCCTGGCCGCTCCTGGGCTGTGAGGGTCGGTAGGAGCCCCGCTGCCCCAGATTTCAGGGTGGGGACACTTCCAGGCCTGGACCCAGGAGGGCTCGGCCGACGGAGCGAGGATTAGAAAGCAGGCTGAGGTCCCAGAGGGGAGACGGGATGGCATGGAGGCCGAAGGCTGGTCGCTGGCAGTGCTGATGGGGGGCGGGGGAGAGCCAGGGTCCTGAGGAACTGTGTGCTGAGGGTGACCCACAGGAAGTCTGTCAGCAGGTGGGCCAGCCTGGGGATACGTGGACATGGCTGGCCTGGCTGACCCCTGGCCCCGGGCATACCGGGCGGGCGCTTCCTCCCTGGTCAGTCAGGTGTCAGACTCTGCGTCACCTTCCCCTCACCTGACATGGAGTCAGGGAAGGGAGTGGGACTGCCCGGAGATGCCGAGGTCTTTGACCTTGACTCAGCCCTGGGTGAGAGGAGGGTGGGGCCGCAGGGCCACCCGCCGGTCAGCTTCTGCCCCTCTACCTGCTCCGTGCCTCTGCCCCTCTTGGGCTCAGAGCATAGACATCCGAGTTCCTCACCACAGAACAGTGGCTGCCACGGGTTCCTGGTCTGGGTGCTTCCGCTGGGGAGTAGGGGAGGGGACCGGCCGCTCTGGATGCAGAAAGTCAGTCTGCTGGGCAGCGCTGGCCCTGGAAGTCAGGGCTGCCCCACCCGCCATTGTGTGCCTTTTCTGCCCAGGCGGGTCTGACCACATTCCTGCAGTGTGAGGCCAGCAGCTGGTGCTTCCCTGTCTAACTGACTCGCCTGTGAGACAGCGTGAAGGCCGGGTCAGCGGTCACCAGCCCCACGGGCCTCTGTTCCGCATTCATGCCCCATGCATCCCCTCTGGGAGCCGGGTGTTCACAGGCTGGTGGGCCCAGGCATGTCCTCTGGGTGACCCACAGGTGTCCCTTGCGCCTCACCACCCTGGCGCCCTGTGAGCACCCCCAGCTGGGGGAGGGGCAGGAGCTGTCTTCTAAAAGGCAGCAAACCTTTGCTGGCTTCTCAGGCCCCAACTGGGGGGGCGGGGAGGGGGCTGCCAGCCCTGCTTGAATGCCTGTGCTGGGGGCAGGGAGGGGCCAGGCCGGCGGCGGCTGGGCTTACCCCGTCCCCCTTCTTGCAGCGATTCGGGTGAGCTGCACAGGCTCCTGCAGGGTCTCCACCAAGGCCAACGACACAGCGTGGGTGACGGAGGAGGGCTACGTCAACAGCGCTCTGTCGCTGGCTGACAAAGGTGCGTCCGCCTGTCCACCCCCCTTTCCATCTGCCTCTGGGAACCCCGTGCTGGCCCACCTCCCGCAGGGCTGTGCACCCTGATGGGTCTCTCCCTGGCAGGCTCTGGGCCTCGCTGGATAGGTCTGGGCTGCTGACCGGGCAGCTTCTCCTGGATGTGAGCGGCTCCAGCCTCCGGGACAGCCCTGAGCCCCTGTAGTTTAAGCCAAGCTCTCGGCCCCATCCTCTGCCCAGGCCTTGGCCCTGTGCTGCTGGGTTCAGGGCGCAGGGGCCGGGCACCCCAGCAGCCAGACCAGTGCAAGCTGCTTGGCTGTGGTGCCTGCTTCTCTCCTGGGCCCTGTGGTGTCACCTGGGGCTCCGGAGGGCCCCGGCCCCACACCTCCCTGTGTCTCCGCAGGGAGCCTGCCTACTGGAGAGCACAGCTTCCCCTTCCAGTTCCTGCTTCCTGGTGAGCGCCCCGCCTGGCCAGGCCTGGTGGTGACAGTGGGTGGGGGAGGAGGGGGCCAGTCGGGTGCCAGTCTGTGCTCTCTCTCCAGCCACGGCACCCACGTCTTTCGAGGGCCCCTTTGGGAAGATCGTGTACCAGGTGCGGGCCACCATCGACACGCCGCGCTTTGCCAAGGATCACCAGTGCAGCTGTGTGTTCTACATCCTGAGCCCCCTGAACCTAAACAGCATCCCGGACATCGAGGTGAGGGTGGGCTGGTGGCCCCCTGGATCCACGGGGATCCTGCCTGCCCACACCACCAACGCTCTCCCCCCTCCCCCTCCCCCCAAGCAACCCAATGTGGCCTCCACCACCAAGAAGTTCTCCTACAAGCTGGTGAAGACGGGCAGCGTGGTGCTCACCGCCAGCACCGACCTCCGCGGCTACGTGGTGGGGCAGGTGCTGCGGCTGCAGGCCGACATCGATAACCAGTCGGGCAAGGACACCGGCCCGGTGGTGGCCAGTCTGCTGCAGGTCAGGGTCCCCATGGGAGGGTGGAGGGTAGGTCACTGGCCTGCCCCGGCTCACAGGCTGGCCCTTCCCTAGAAAGTGTCCTATAAGGCCAAGCGCTGGATCTATGACGTGCGGGCCATCGCGGATGTGGAGGGTGCCGGAGTCAAGGCCTGGAGGCGGACGCAGTGGCAGGAGCAGATCCTGGTGCCCGCCCTGCCCCAGTCGGCCCTGCCGGGCTGCAGCCTCATCCACGTAGACTACTACCTGCAGGTACTGGGGTTGGGGGGCGGCGGG